TTTCATCGTACATGTTTTGAGATGCTCCATAATGTTTGAGTTTTTTAGTATCTCTTGAAATTAATCTCTTGATATTTATCTTTTGCTATTTATCTTTTGATATATATCTCTTAATATTTATCTTGATATTTATCTCTTGATATTAATCTCTTGATATTTATCTTTCGCTATTTATCTTTTGATATATATCTCTTAATATGTATCTCTTGATATTTATCTCTTAATATTTATCTCTTGATATTTATCTCTTAATATTTATCTCTTAATATTTTTCTCTTATTATTTATCTCTTGATATTTATCTCTTAATATTTATCTCTTGATATTTATCTCTTAATATTTATCTCTTAATATTTTTCTCTTAATATTTATCTCTTGATATTTATCTCATGATATTTATCTTTTGATATTAATATCTTGATATTTATCTCTTAATACTTATCTCTTAATATTTATCTCTTAATATTTATCTCTTGATATTTATCTCTTAATATTTATCTTTTAATATTTATCTCTTAATATTTATCTCTTAATATTTATCTCTTAATATTTATCTCTTGATATTTATCTCTTGATATTTATGTCTTGATTTAAATATGATAAAAAAAATTATTCTCCAAGTCCAACCTCACTGGCACACTTCACTTCAACCATGGCAGGGCGTGCGCGCACGTAAACATGTATAAATGCGGTAATCATCATGATCTCAAAAATGTCACCACTAGATGGAGTTGGATTGAGTTGGCTTCAAGTGGAGCTCTCAGCTTGACATTTCATTCAAACTTTGCAAAATATTTGATGAAAAATTGAAACAATTAAGTTACAAGCATGATTCTTGGAAACAAATTGGACACCGTTTTATATTGATATTTCAAATTTTTTACTTGAAAAACTTTTTTAAAAATGTAAAAAAAACTGAGCCGTAAACTTTTGAAAGACGAAAAATTTCTCAAGATTAAGCTTCCCCCATATCCAAGGAATTTAACCTTAATTATTTCTCGTCACTCAAACATCTAGCAAGAGATCCTGAAATGATCCATCTCAATTATATCAGTAATTGCTCATTCTTTCTTTCTTCAAATTAATTTACAAATGAAAAGAGTTACTTTGCCAAAAATGCTAAAATTACATAATTTAGGCCATTTTTATTTCCAACCCAAACCAAAGAAAAAAGTTTAAACCAATCTGTCTGAACCCAACCAACCTCTCCAAATTACAAATGTCAGTCTGAAAACATCTTATTATGGAAATGGAATGTTCGTTTAATGGGACTGTAGACGTAATTTCCTGTAACACCCCATTTATACAGTAGCATATCCAATTCACATCAGTACCCTTTAAACCTTTATTTTAGCAAGGATTAATGATATATCCTCATTTTTCTATCTAACAAAATGATTATTTTTTATTATTTTTTCTCTGAAAAATAGGCTCCAGTGATAGTAATGAAATATTTTAGAATTAATAAAAAACGGGGAAATATTTATCACAGAAGCAGTTTTAATATTGCCTCATTGTGAATCATGCTGGCATTAACCACTCCTCAAACGGAGGATCACTTGAAATATCGTTTACAGTCCCTTTAAATTAAAATTCACCTTGTAAGACCAAAGTTGAGTGTGTGTTTACTTTTATGTCTGTGATAATAAATTGAATATTTCAGATTTTATTATGTTATTAATATCACTGATAAACCATATTGAATTGATATCATCAATCCATCTAGACATGAATCATTTAATCTTCGGTCATTTATAACTTTATTTTTATTCAGTTCTATTACTGTATATTTGTATTATTACTAATATGGAATTGGGTATGAATGCGTTTTTTAATCGTCTGTTATCATTATTATTTTCATTATTCGTTAATATTTCATTTATGACAAGTCTAAAACTTGTTTGATATCAACAACATGTCAATTCTCAAAGTTTAAATAATTTTGCCGAAAATGCACAAAAATGGCTAAAAATGGTATAAACTAAAACAATACTTCTTTAAAAATGTTTTGAATATTTTTATTCAGGGGCATCATTAAGGGGACTAGAAGATGGGAGGTTTGAAAAATAGATTCTAGAATTCTTCAGGATTTAAATGATTTTTCAAATCTTTCCTTTAGGCTAAATAGATTTGTAGAGACATCCCACAGGGTTGAATATTGATTGATTAATTGATTGATGGATTTGATAAAATATAAATATTATTTTTTCGGAGATAAATGTAGATGTGTAAAGGTCGCTTGAAATTAAAGGTGAAAAAGCTAAGATCGGTCATATGAACCAATCTGTACAGAAACATCCGATAGAAATAATAATGCTCTTATATTCATATTATAAGAACAAATTTGAAATGAACAATAAAAATGTAATAGATACACTTAATAGACCCGAAGGATTTTTTAATGAGCATAACAGCTCTGTAAGTTTTGAGAAAAAGATTTTATATAAAACGCACAGTNATATTCAGGGCAAAAACTAAAACAATTCGAAATTATGCGATTTTGTTTTATAAAAATAGAAAAACACCAAGGTTGTGCATGAAAGTTTCTCTCTGGTTTTTTCCTGATAATATTGTTCAGAGAAAGAATTTGGTAAAAAAAATGATAAAGAAAAAGATCGTAAACCAAGAAAAGACCATATTTTTGGGAGAAAGATCTGTCTAGAGTTAAAATATGTGCTTTTTGTTCTCATAGATCTGTAGATATGACTAATTGAGTTTTTGTTTGAAAACACTGATGGGTATCATTTGTTGCGCGCTCTATGATAACGCGCGCACCAAAATATGCAGTTTTTGTGCTCCTCAAGCGACAAGCGTCGGAGTTTGCACATTTAAAGACAATATTCTTGCATCGGGGCTGCGTGGTAACATTTTACAAAAACCCAGGCAGGAGGTTAATTATGACAGGATGTTTTAAACAGATGAAGATTAATTTAACAGAAACAAAAATGCATTCTCGGACTCTGGATAACCTGCTGAATCTGTTGATTTTTCTTGTCCATCCCTGTAATTCTCCACTTTTGTCAATTTTCCCCACAAAACGCTGAAATAATACAAAATGTAGAAAAATTGCATTGAAACAATTGCAGTTCTTGATCTTGCAAAATACGGACATAATCGCTGAGAAAAATTGCATAAATTCACTGTAAATGCCAAGACTGGTAAATCCAAAGTTAATCTCTAGCCGCTAACCTTCAATCCGAGATTTTTCAAGAAAAACTCCGTTAACCCTTTGTTGTGCAATTTAGAAGAAAAATGCGGGAAAGAGAATTTTAAAAATTCGCGGAATTATTTAAAATTATGGAAATGTCGCAGCAAGCATCAAGACCTTGATTAATTTTGCAGGTTTTTAAAAAAAAATTTCTTTATGATACAATAACAAAAAGTATTGGTTTGAGGCATTTGAAATTTTATGACTTTTCCTAAATATCCATAGCCCTCCCATTAGGTCTAAAACCTGGCTTTTATACTAACTACCTAAGTCCTCCGGCACACTGCCTGAATGACTACTTTTTCCTGTAACAAACTAAATCTTTGTTTTGACCCACTTTCAGTTGTCAGATTTTGATAATTTTTAGCTTTTTGTGAAGAATAAAGAAACGGATTGCAAAAGTTTTTCAAAGAAAGTTTTTGCAAGTTATTTTCATACAGTCCGTGAAAATAAAATTTGCACATTTTAAGTTTTTCTTAATTACACANAGGAACTGGAGGAACTGGAGGAACTGGAGGAACTGGAGGAACTGGAGGAACTGGAGGAATTGGAGGAACTTCAGAAAAACTGGAGGAACTGGAGGAACTGGAGGAACTGGAGGAACTGGAGGAACTGGAGGAACTGGAGGAACTGGAGGAACTGGAGGAATTGGAGGAACTACAGAAAAACTGAAGGAACTGTAGGAACTGGAGGAACTGCAGAAAACTGGAGGAACTGGAGGAACTGGAGAAACTGGAGGAACTTGAGGAACTGGAGAAACTGGAGAAACTGGAGGAACTTGAGGAACTGGAGAAACTGGAGAAACTGGAGGAACTTGAGGAACTGGAGAAACTGGAGGAATTTGAGGAACTGGAGGAACTGGAGAATTTTAAAGTGCAGGGTTTGGATTATATGTCTATTTTAATATTTGATTGGAAAGATATCTTTTATCTCTGTTAATTTGTTTAGAGAACTTAGCTCTGTTAAAATGCTGGTTTAAGGACTAATTGTATATATTTGTACAGGTTAGGTGACGACCTAGCTAATGCTTTAACATTAACCTTTACCCTACTACCATTCAACCCCTTCTTTATTCTGTCATTCAACTCAAAATTGTAATTCACGGTCTTGATGCATGGCAGTTTACTGTACATGTTTTCGAATACAGAGGTTCCCACAAAAAACGACGGAACATATTTTATTTCATGGTCGTCATTAGAGTCTCAATTAGCTGTGGGTCACCCTGTATTTNATCTATCTATCTATCTATCTATCTATCTATCTATCTATCTATCTATCTATCTATCTATCTATCTATCTATCTATCTATCTATCTATCTATCTATCTATCTATCTATCTATCTATCTATCTATCTATCTATCTATCTATCTATCTATCTATCTATCTATCTATCTATCTATCTATCTATCTATCTATCTATCTATCTATCTATCTATCTATCTATCTATCTATCTATCTATCTATCTATCTATCTATCTATCTATCTATCTATCTATCTATCTATCTATCTATCTATCTATCTATCTATCTATCTATCTATCTATCTATCTATCTATCTATCTATCTATCTATCTATCTATCTATCTATCTATCTATCTATCTATCTATCTATCTATCTATCTATCTATCTATCTATCTATCTATCTATCTATCTATCTATCTATCTATCTATCTATCTATCTATCTATCTATCTATCTATCTATCTATCTATCTATCTATCTATCTATCTATCTATCTATCTATCTATCTATCTATCTATCTATCTATCTATCTATCTATCTATCTATCTAGATGGTGTCGAGGAGAAAGATATTGTCCCGATCCCGAGACGATTTAACTCTTGATGATGATCCGCCGCGAGGGAATCTGTTCTCCGCCAGGTGATTATAATATTCGCCATTTATATAATTCAACTTATATCTGTATTTTTTTACATTATTTATTTTTTATTTCAAGCTTTCCTCCGCCCGTATAATTTATCCTCCGCCACTGTCAATTATCCTCCGCCCGAACAAATCATTGATTATCCTCCAAGCGTATTGATTATCCTCCGCTAGTGTCAATTATCCTCCGCCAGTATACCTCCGATAGAATCAATTCTCCTCCGATAGTATCTTATCCTCTGTCAGTATCGATTGCCCTCCGCTAGTTTCAAGTACCCTCCGTCAGTATCAATTATCCTCTGTCAGTATCAACTGCCCTCCGTTAGTTTAAAGTACCCTCCGACTGTATCAATTATCCTCTGTCAGTATCAATTGCCCTCCACCAGCATCAATTACCCTCCGACATTATTAGTTATCCTCTGTCAGTATCAATTACCCTCTGATAGTATCAATTATCCTCCGTCAGTATCTTATCTTATCATAACAATATATTTATTATTTGATTTGATCTTTAAAACCTGAATGACTACTTTTTCCTGTAAGAAACTAAATCTTCGTTTTGACCCACTTTCAGTTGTCTCTGACAGTATCAATTACCCTCCGCCAGTATCAATTACCCTCCGCCAGTATCAATTACCCTCCGTCAATATCAATTATTCTCCGCCAGTATCAGTTACCCTCCTCCAGTATCAATTATCCTCCGCCAGTATCAATTTTCCTCCGTCAGTATCAATTGCCCTCCGCCAGTATCAATTACCCTCCGATAGTATCAATTTATCCTCCGCCAGTATCAGTTATCCTCCGATAATATCAAATATCCTCCGTCAGTATCAGTTATCCTCCGATAATATCAAATATCCTCCGTCAGTATCAGTTATCCTCCGATAATATCAATTATCCTCCATCAATATCAATTTATCTTATAATAACAATATATTTATTATTTGATTTGATCTTAACTTATAAAAAATGAAGCCTACATCTGTTCTTAAAATTCTACCACTGCGTGACTTCAAATTAATGTTTCTCATTTAACTTCTAAACTCTTTGACATCCTGTGAAAATGTAACAAAACTTGTCTTGAACAATTAAACTCTTGTTTAATTAAACCCTTGTTAAATTCAACCCTTGTTTTCTGAATCTGTTAGCGCCATTTCAGCTAGAACACGCATACTAAAAATAGGTTTCTTTATAAAATACTCGCAAAGACTTTGAAACAGTAAAATTATTGTTTTTTATTTCGAAATTGTTTTGTTAAGGTTTGAGGAAGACGTCTGGTACACTAAGCAGAAACTTTTCTCGGTGAGTGAAATCATAAATTATCTACGCAATTTTGTTTTTCAGTTCCGCCATTTTGTTTTTTGTTCTGTCATTATCATTTTATGTTTGAAAAATGCAAGGAACAAATAAACATCTTCGGCATCTTGAAAGATGATTCTTAATTCAAAAATTAAAATAAAATATCGTGAAATCTCTTTACAAAATTAAAATATCACTTGTATTGGGATAGAGTCCGACATCTAGAATTACGTATTCGAAAATAATGATAAAAAAACAGGAAAATCTTCAGCTAATTAATCAGAATTGAGACCCAAGATAATTCTGCTAGTTAGAATTTTTTAATTTTAATTCAATTTCAAAACAAAGCCGTCTTTTCCCAGTTAGATATTCAGAATTTCATTTAGTTTTTAATGGAGTAATTAGTAACCCCTCAATGTTCTAAACATCCATGATATCTTTGTATCTTTGTCCCTTTCTGAGACCGTTAAAGATCGTTTCGTATACAACGTTCACACGTTGTCCTTAAAGGAACCTGACACGTAATTTCAGTTGGCTTTCCATTTTTAGAGTGAATTGTCCGATTTACAACCTCTTCCCGGAAAATTCCGGAACGATTTTTCTTTAAACCGAAATTATCCGGAACTTATATTCCGGGCGTTACGGGAAAAAACGTTCCAGAAATCGTTTAGGAATTCCGGATTTCCGAAACCTTTTCCATAATGGAAATGGAAAAAAATTCCGGATCATTTCCGTGCGTAAACCGTAATACGGAATTACGGTGGAAACGGCCTAACCGTACCATTTAAAAATGCAACTTCATTTCAATTTTCATTTGAATGGCGTTCACAACTTCACACTGAACATAATTTTTAGTGGGAAAAATAAGGATTTCTCGCCCGTCAATAAGTCGACAAAAGTTTAAAGGAACTGTTGTTAATGGAACATGGCACTCTATGGTAAAGGGCCACTTGAAATAATGTCTATAGTCCCTTTAAGCCGTATCTTAGAAAACACTGTAATAAATAAAACCACAATATGCTGAGTAGAGACAGATAATGATTTTAAAATGTATTGAATGGTGGCTAATAAAGTTAAGCCTGAAGTAACAGATTATAAACATGTCTTCTTTGAACAGAGTCTGCAGAAATATATGGACGGGGGGGGGGGGGTCTCAGCTAAACAGGGTTAGGTTTATTTAAACCTAATTTTTCTCATAAACACGCAAATTTTCAAAAATTGAAAAATTTTAATTTTAAATTTAAAATCATAGAAAATATATATATTTATTTATCTAGATATTAAGAATTCGTTTTACTATTTAACAAGTCCTATTTAACAAATCCTAAACATAATAATAATCAGTTTGCAAAAAAAAACTTCCCTTTGAAACTACTGTAAAGGGGGGGTGGGTTTAGTTTGGTGTAGGTTTATGGGTAGGAAGAGGAGGGTTCAAGTGTCCTTAATGTAATGTATGCTATGTGTTAACATGTATTATACATTCTTATTCTATAATCTTGATTTACCACTAACCATTCATATTCTAATACATACTTAACTCTAGTTGCAATTCTAAACTGGCTCTGCCTCACAAAACCGGGACTCGGTTTTTTGGCGTTAAATTTCTGTAGGCAATTGTAAAACATAGCATCAGGGAGGGAGACATTTTTTCATACTGTTGTTTAGCGGTTGTAAGATAACAAATTGCTTAGCATTTTATGTACATTGTACAGTGTACACTATATTCCTTTGTACAGTGTACAGTCCCCAATACAGTGTACACTGTGTACGCTATACACCCACTTCACACAATGTACAATGTCCAGTATGGTCCCCTGTACAGTGTACAGTGTTCAATAGGTGTAATATACTGTACTGTGTACACTATGCACCCCTGTAAAGTGTACTGTGTTCACTATACACCCCTGCGAAGTGTACTGTGTACACTATACACCCCTGTAAAGTGTACTGTGTGCGCTATACACCCCTGTGAAGTGTACTGTGTACACTATACACCCCTGTAAAGTGTACTGTGTACACTATACACCCCTGTGAAATGTACTGTGTATACTATACACCCCTGTGAAGTGTACTGTGTACACTATACATCCCTGTTTAAAATGCATTGTTGTATTCAAGGAATATCCCGGGGACACGTGTGAGTGACAACTGAGAAATGTCAACTTTATAAATATGACAATGTTAAAATATGTATTCATTATTTTAATACAAATTCATAATCTGCACGGGAAGGATTAAATCAAATAAATCGTACAGAGCGTAATTTTTTAACTGTTCATTAATTGCGTTAAAGGGACTGTATTGAGTCTTATAATACAATTTCCAATTAAAGTACGGAATGTCGGATTTACAAAAGTATCCTTCAAACCGTCATCTGGCCAAAAAATGAAAGTTTTTTTGTCTAAAATGATAAATTTCTGGTGCAATGCTCGTTAAAAAAGTGACTTGAGGATTTATACACCAGGAGGAAGAGAAGAAGTGTCAGAAATCAGAACTTTTCCAGGCAGCTAATCCACTCTATCCTCCTTATAGTAGCTCTGTTTTCCAGGCAGATAATCTACTCTATCTTCTTTATTGTAGCTCTGTTTTCCAGGCAGCTAATCCACTCTATCTTCCTTATTGTAGCTCTGTTTTCCAGGCAGCTAATCCACTCTATCTTCCTTATAGTAGCTCTGTTTTCCAGGCATCTAATCCACTCTATTCTCCTTATTGTAGCTCTGTTTTCCAGGCATCTAATCCACTCTATCTTCCTTATAGTAACTCTGTTTTCCAGGCAGCTAATCCACTCCATCTTCCTTATTGTAGCTCTGTTTTCCAGGCAGCTAATCCACTCTATCTTACTTATTGTAGCTCTGTTTTCCAGACAACTAATCCACTCTATCTTCCATATTGTAGCTCTGTTTTCCAGGCAGCTAATCCACTCTATCCTCCTTATTGTAGCTCTGTTTTCCAGGCAGCTAATCCACTCTATCTTCCTTATTGTAGCTCTGTTTTCCAGGCAGCTAATCTATCTTCCTTATTGTAGCTCTGTTTTCCAGGCAGCTAATCCACTCTATCTTCCTTATTTTAGCTCTGTTTTCCAGGCATCTAATCCACTCTATTCTCCTTATTGTAGCTCTGTTTTCCAGGCAGCTAATCCACTCTATCTTCCATATTGTAGCTCTGTTTTCCAGGCATCTAATCCACTCTATCTTCCTCATAGTAGCTCTGTTTTCCAGGCATCTAATCCACTCTATCTTACTTATTGTAGCTCTGGTTTCCAGGCATCTAATCCACTCTATCTTCCTTATAGTAGCTCTGTTTTCCAGACAGCTAATCCACTCTATCTTCCTTATAGTAGCTCTGTTTTCCAGGCAGCTAATCCACTCTATCTTCCTTAGTAGCTCTGTTTTCCAGGCAGCTAATCCACTCTATCTTCCTTATTTTAGCTCTGTTTTCCAGGCAGCTAATCCACTCTATTTTCCTTATAGTTGCTCTGTTTTCCAGGCAGCTAATCCATTCTATCTTCCTTATTTTAGCTCTGTTTTCAAGGCATCTAATCCACTCTATCTTCCTTATTGTAGCTCTGAGTGATAAAGTATGAAAATCAGACATGACACTCTATAAATGGAGGATCTCTTAATTGCGTCTACTACAAGCCCTTTAAACTTCTAATTTCTTTAGTGTAAGATGCTTTACAAATGATGTATTTCCGATTTTTGTGTACATTTTTTAACAATACTTTAAGAATACAAACACAAAAATACAAACATTTTGGTCCTTTCCTTTAATTTTTTTTATCTGTTAAACGACTATTTAGAGCCCCTGTATTAGATTTGATAATTACTGCAAAAACTCCACCAACGCTAGGATTAAGACCCGAAAGCAAATTAGCAAAAGAAAATTGACACTGATTAAGAGCAGTGTGGAAGATAATTAGTATTTATCCTGTAATTAAGATGATAATCATCAGTCATCAGAATATTATATCAAATCTTGCCGATAAATTAAACTCAAAATTCAGCTTGTTCACTAACTTTAATCCATCATCTAAAAAGGACTGTACACGTAATTTACAGAGGCATATTTGATTGTCAACGGTACCTCAAACAACCTTAGTATGATTAAGAATGCATGAGATATTCATGTTTTTTTACTTTCGAAGTTGAGTATTTTCAGTTGATGTTTCTTTACAAAAAGGACTTTTTAGAAGAAAAAAATAATAAAACTTCCAAGATTGTAAAACTGTATTATGTTGAAGTTTGCTTTTATTGAACTAAAGCAATATCTTTAATCTGAAAAAAATGGAAAACGTCTGAAAACGATTGATACAACACGTTCTTTTTTGTATCGTTTTGTATCGTTTTTGTATTGTTTTGTATCGTTTTTGTATCGTTTTGTATCATTTTTGTATCATTTTGTGTCGTTTTTGTATCGTTTTTGTATCTTTTTTTATTGTTTTTGTATCGTTTTGTATCGTTTTGTATCGTTTTGTATCGTTTTGTATCGTTTTGTATCGGTTTTGTATCATTTTGTATCGTTTTGTATCGTTTTGTATCGTTTTTGCATCGTTTTGTATCGTTTTGTATCGTTTGTATTGTTTTGTATCGTTTTTCTATCGTTTTGTATTGTTTTGTATCGTTTTGTATCGTTTTTGTATCGTTTTTCTATCATTTTGTATTGTTTTGTATCGTTTTGTATCGTTTTGTATCATTTTTCGGTCATTTTTTACATTTATCTTCTGTCAGGGTCCAAATTTGGACATAGTGTAAAGACAATACACATTTAAATTTAACAATTTAAAATTTACTTGCTTTTCTTATACTTTGCTAAATTTTGACATTGAAAGAAAATATAAACAAAAAACGATCCCGAAGGCCCATCACTACTTGCGGATTCCTGATGAAATTGTGATATGAATATGAATTAGATAAAAGTTTGATTCAGGGGCTGAAACGTCATGTTGTGTTGTACCAAATGAGTTTGCGTGTGTAATACAGAACTCATCTGCAAAGCAGTGCAACGGGCTTTCTCAAGCCATACCAGCGCCATTGCCCTTCCCTTTATTTCTATTCCCTGGTTTGATTGTACCATTGTGAATTACGTCAAAATTTTGCATGTCATGTTTGAACAGATTAATGATTAAAGTTTTAAGATAAATTATTTGGTTTCAAGAAAAGTGTTGATGTTAAAAATATTAGATTATGTAATCTATCAGATCAGATGAAAGGCAAATTACAAATGGGTTGGTTTGGATATTAACATGGTCGCTCTATGTCCGCTTGAGGGCCCAATATGGCAGTTTAAGGGCCCACTAAACTAGGATAATTAATTGCTTTAACTCAACTAGGGCAGTGGGTTCCAACCGAGCAAGGAAATAAATACACGCTATCAATAACAACGTTTCAAGGAACTGAGTATTTCCCTCAAACTCTAATTTACTGATCCTTATAAACCTTTGCAACCTGATATTGCTGACCTTTGATATTTCATACTTTGAATTGTACTAGAGCAAACAGGTAAATTTTGAAATATCAAAGGATTGATCAGTTCCTGTGGGTTTCTTGAATGAGCTCGGTAGCCTGGATGAATGAGTTCGGGAGCATGGATGAATGAGTGTGGTAGGATGGATGAATGAGGTTGGTAGCAAGGATGAATAAGCGCAATAGCTTGGATGAATAAGCGCTGTAGTCTGGATAAATGAGTGTGGTAGCCTGGATGAATTAGGTTGGTAGCCAGGATGATTAATCACTGTAGCTTGGATGAATTAGTGTAGTAGCTAGGATGAATTAGTGTGGTAGCCTGGATGAATACTCACTGTAGCTTGGATGAATGAGCGTGGCAGCCAGGGTGAATGAGGGTGCTGTGTGTAAGTCTGAATGAATGAGCGTGGTAGCCTGGATGAATAATAGCGGTAGCTTGGATGAATAAGCGCTGTAGTTTTGATGACTAAGCGCGGTAGCCTGGATAAATTACGCGCGTTGGAACCAAGAGGTTTTGAGAACAAAGTGTGCACACATTCCAAACTAACATGCAAAGGATGCTTGAAGTGTGGCAGATAGATAGATATTAGATAGAAAGATAGGTAGATGGATAGATGGCTAGATAGACAGATAGACAGAAATATAGATGGATAGACAGATAGACAGATAGACATATAGACAGATAGACATACATACAGATACACAGATAGAAATATAGACAGCTAGACAGCTAGACAGATAGACAGATAGACTGATAGACAGATAGACTGATAGACGGATAGACAGATAGACAGATAGACAGATAGACAGATAGACAGATAGA